ACTCAAGAGCCAACTCAACGAAAAAGTGAAATTCAGATCACGATAACTCGATGAATAAAGGTTCAATCGCTACAAAAAATTCAGAACCGCGCTACTTTTTATGGGTCTCCACGGGACTGAATTTTTGAAAAAATCTGTGGGGTAGAAGTATAGATTTCGTGTTTTGGGTATGTGTTCGGAAATCATATCTCCTGACTTATGAATTTACGTTTGACTGTTTTCCTTTAAATATATTGTTTATGAAATGTCATACTACAAGTTCTGTGCAGTTACCATGTATTAAGATTACATATAAACTGAATTTCAAAAATAACTAGGCAAGAATTCACGTACATACTATTGGTGTGGGGTGTGTTAATTTTCCTGGCATCATACGAGGCACGAGTTTTCAGAGTTCAAAATGGCGTCGCTGTGTTTACGCGTACATACTGTAAAAAGGTTAATTATTCACTGGGTTTTAATTTTGCTTATTTCGCTGAGTGGAAAATGCGCTAAATTAAAACCCAGTGAATATGTAAAATTTAGTATAGAACACATTATCAAAATGATAAAACCGTGAATTTAAAACCCACTGAATATGCCTGAAATGGTAAATCAGCAAAATTTAAACCCAGTGAAAATTAGTCATTTTACAGTAACCTGTTGCGGAAAACTTCGGATATTTCCAAGGTAAGTTGAGAAAAATCGAGATACTATAGTATTTGAACATTTTTATTCAATGTGATGCCGTTTTATAATCAGTTATCTTTCTTGGGCGCTTTCCAGTGTTATGAGATCGTGGAATAGAACTCTGCCTGGGAGATTGGGTATTGAAATCATTGTGTTCAGTTGTTGATCTCGCGACAGGCATCCGGCATGAACACAATGAAACCTGTATTTGCCACCAGTGTTCAGGTTTCTTCAATTGTATTGACAGCATACATAGAACTAGTTTATTACCTATATATATTACTTTGCGATGTATACTCGTTATCACAAATAATCATGCTTTAGAAGATGTCTCTAGTACAATAATGAAAAATGATTAACAAACACTATCTATATTATAGTACTCTGTACATTTTATTTTGAATATATTTTCACTTGTGCATTGAACAGTCAAGAAGGACTGTTAGGGAGTGGGGTAATGGGCATGTTGAAA